CTTTGCCTAAAACACTTAGCACCATATATACAAAGAAGAATTTCTTGGCCCTGAGTGGGATTCAAGGTTAAAGCAGCTTACAGTGAGAGGTTATAAGTCACTCTTCCCTAATGTTCCAAACTCCTGTCCCTCCTAGGTCAAAGAGGACCCAATCACATGATATCTTAACATTCCCTTCCACTTCTGTGATTGCAGCTGCATTGTGAGTCCTTAGAAGCAAAGCCTAGTAAATTAAACCAGCAATTATTGCTGTTTAAAATGGTAGTGATTTTAAGAGTTTTCTTTGAAAAGTCTGTCAATAGGAGCAGAAGACTATGAATAACACCAAAATATTTAACTGTCTATCGAAATTTCTTTACAGTATCGAATAAAATGGGAACAGATGCAACTAGACCAGAACTTGGTTAGTAGGTAACAGATTTATTGGACTTGCTCATTTTAAAAATTAAGGTTATAAACAACATATGTCAAAAATCCTATAAAACTGCTGTGGAAATCATCTTCCTGGAAAGCCAGAATCCCTGCTAATAGTCCGAATTTGCTTTTCAGAACTGAAAATGACATTGTATACATCTGCAGCACTATTTGAAACAATGTTTCCTTGAGACAGAGCTTACTCTGCCCTGGGTGTGCATTCAGTAGCTACCCCAAAGTTTCAAATACCTGGTCTCTTCCTAGAATGTAATCCATCCAGTCCCTTGAGAGAAGACAAATTCTTTATTTACAAATACAGGTGGAGTTGCTATTAGTTACAGTTTTCTGGAAGTTTTCAAATATAGCTCATGATTTGAAAGTAAAAGGAAGTCATATGACAGTGAAGTCACCAGGTCCTCCATCTATCCTGAAGGATAGAGAGAGACCTGATGAGAGAATCTCAATTGGCTGTTTTTCTTTTTACTGTCACATATGCAGGTTTCCTGTTGAATCTCTCTGGTCCACTGTTCCCTCTAATGAAGTCATGTTCTGTGCCCAGGGCAGTAATATCCTCAGAAGCAGATGTCTCCCATAAAGCATGACCTCATTCCTTGGAATGGGAAGAGCCAGCAGTTGACTGTTGTGCTAATGGGTGGGGAGGGCTTTGTTTAAAAATAGTTTTCTAAAATAATGTGTTTAACTTTTTAATAAACTTCTATAAAAAGGCAAATTAGTTTGTTGCGGTTTTTTTGTTTTTGTTTTTGTTTTTGTTAACCTCACTCCTTACTTCCAGAAGGGGCAACCACTAGGCCAGAAGGAACGGAGTCCTCGCAGAGCCAGGCACTTCCATCTAGTTGTTTGTACAGATGGGTGAAACTTAGGATTTTCCAGATGCTGAATCTAGGCTCTGTATCAGACCCCACTGAATCACAACCTAGATTTCAACAAGCCTTTTTATAACAGCCCTGGAGCTTAGAGGAAATAAACTGAAGTACCCAAGGAAAGTTACTGACCCAGATGCTCCAGCAAATTAAGCAAGTGGGAATATTGCTAGAGAAGGGAAGAGTAGAGGAAAAGGGTGAACCATTTAGAAGGATGCAGTTTGAAGCCAATCCACACTTGCTAAAGAGAATGGGCTTTCCAGGCTATTCCTATTCCTTTAGAAAAGTATATGTAGGGTAGTTCCTGAACACTGACTTCTCAAATTATTATGAATAACCAAGATGATTGGCCTCCTGTACTGTCTGACATCCTATCATCAGGGCTTACAGGCACAGCCCATGTGTTCTACTGTGTTCCTCACTTCTGTTTCTGTCTATGCAGAAGGTGATCACTAAACAAGGTCCAAAGAGCTAATTTCCTAAACATGGATGACAAAGACCTTTTCCATAAACAAGATCCATAAACAAGGAAACGTGATAAGGTACTTACCATCTGAGCTTGGTACCTGCAATTTGTAAATTTAATCACTACATCCCCATAAGAGGTCATTTCAGTTACAGCTGTGCATTAAAAATGAAGATATGCCAATAATTCTGTAAATATTAATTGATGGCAGTAAATACTGAAATTACATTTCCTTTCCCAACTCCCACATTAGTCACCTTGGCCAGCAACCAGTCCTCCTCCAGATAACTCTTTAAGCTTCATGCCCACCATAAAGCCTGATATGGTTTGGCTCTGTGTCCCCACCCAAATCTCATCTTGAATTATACTCCCATAATTCCCACATGTTGTGAGTGGGAGATAATTGAATCATGGGAGCAGTTTCCCCCATACTGTTCTCATGATAGTGAATAAGTCTCACAAGATCTAATGGTTTGATAAGGGGAAACATGTTTCGCTTGTCTGTCATTCTTTCTCTTGTCTACTGCCATGTGAGACATGCCTTTTACCTTCCACCATGATTGTGAGGCCTCCCAGGCCACATGAACCTGTAAGTCCATTAAACCTCTTTTTCTTCCTAGTCTTTGGTATGTCTTTATCAGCACCATGAAAAGGGACTAATACAGAAAACTGGTACCAGCAGAGTGGGGTGTTGCAGAAAAGATACCCAAAAAAGTGGAAGCAACTTTGGAACTAGGTAACAGGCAGAGGTTGGAACAGTTTGGAGGGCTCAGAAGAAGACAGGAAAATGTGGGAAAGTTTGGAACTTCCTAGAGACTTGTTGAATGGCTTTGACAAAAATGCTGATAGTGATAGAAACAATAAGATCCAGGCTGAGGTGGTCTCAGATAGAGATGAGGAACTTGTTGGGAACTGGAGCAAAGGTGATTCTTGTTATGTTTTAGCAAAGAGACTGGCAGCATTTTGCCCCTGCCCTAGAGATTTGTGGAACTTTGAACTTGTGAGAGATGATTTAGGGTATCTGGCAGAAGAAATTTCTAAGCAGCAAAGCATTCAAGAGGTGACTTGGGTGCTGTTAAAAGCATTCAGTTTTAAAAGGGAAACAGAGCATAAAAGTTTGGAAAATTTGTAGCCTGACAATGGGCTAGAAAAGAAAATTCCGTTTTCTGAGGAGAAATTCAAGCCAGCTGCAGAAATTTGCATAAGTAACAAGAAGCCAATGTTAATCCCCAAGACAATGGGGAAAATGTCTCCAAGGCATCTCAGAGGTCTTCACAGCAGCCCCTCCCATCACAGGCCTGGAGGCCCAGGAGGAAAAAGTGCTTTCGTGTGCTAGGCCCAGGGTCCCTGTGCTGTGTGCAGGCTAGGAACTTGGTGCCCTCCATCCCAGCCGCTCTAGCAGTGGCTAAAAGGAGCCAACATAGAGCTTGGGCCATAGCTTCAGAGGGTGCAAGCCCCAAGCCTTGGCAGCTTCCATGTGGTGTTGAGCCTGCGAGTGCACAGAAGTCAAGAATTGGGGTTTAGGAACCTCTGCCTAGATTTCAGAAGATGTATGGAAATGCCTGGATGCCCAGGCAGAAGTTTGCTGCAGGGGCAGGGTCCTCATGGAGAACCTCTGCTAGGGCAGTGCAGAAGGGAAAAGAGGGGTCAGAGTCCCCACACAGAGTCCCTACTGGGGCACTGCCTAGTGGAGCTGTGAGAAGAGGGCCACCATCCTCCAGACCCCAGAATGGTAGATCCACTGACAGCTTGCACTGTGCACCTGGAAAAGTCACAGACACTCAACACCAGCCCATGAAGGCAGCTGGGAGGGAGGCTGTACCCTGCAAAGCCACAGGGGCAGAGCTACCCAAGACCATGGGAACCCACCTCTTGCATCAGCTGGATATGAGACATGGAATCAAAGGAGAACATTTTGGTGCTTTAAGATTTGACTGCCCTGCTGGATTTCAGACTTGCATGTGGCCTGTAGCCCCTTTATTTCAGCCAATTCCTCCCATTTGGAATGACTGTATTTACCCTATGCCTGTACCATACCCTTACTGTATCTAGGAAGTAACTAACTTGCTTTTGGTTTCACAGGCTCATAGGCAGAAGGGACTTGCCTTGTCTCAGATGAGACTTTGGACTGTGGACTTTTGAGTTAATGCTGAAATGAGCTAAGACTTTGGGGGACTGTTGGGAAGGCATGATTGATTTTGAAATGTGAGGACATGCAATATGGGAGGGATCGGGGCAGAACAATATGGTTTGGCTTTGTGTCCTCACCCAAATCTCATCTTGAATTGTACTCCCATAATTCCCACGTTGTGGGAGGGATGTGGTGGGAGATAACTGAATCATGGGGGCAGTTTCTCCCATACTGTTCTCGTGGTAGTAAATAAGAATAAGTCTCACAAGATCTGATGGTTTCATAAGGGGAAACATGTTTCACTTGGCTCTCATTCTCTCTCTTGTCTGCCACCATGTGAGACGTGCCTTTCACCTTCCACTATGATTGTGAGGCCTCCCCAGCCACGTGGAACTGTCAGTCCATTAAACCCCTTTTTCTTCCCAGTCTCGGGTATGTCTTTATCAACAGCATGAAAACAGACTAATACAAAGCCTTCCTAGGGCAAACCTCCCAGACTTTGTTTCTTATCTCCTTGAGCCCATCCTTCCTGTCTCCTCCTTCTGTACCTTTGTCCTTCATCCTTCCCACCTCTGATGCCTCTAGAGACAGTAACATTGGTACCTGAAATGAAAGCACATGGAAAACAGATAAGAAGAGATTATGAACTTTACAAAAATCAGCGTAGCTGGGTGGACTGAGAAAAATAAACTGAGGTCATGTATGAGTTGTTTTCTCTCAAGAAAGTGTTACACACTAGGAATAACCATATTATTTTTAATGAAAGTTACTGGACTTTTTTTCTACCAGGGAGGAAAAAATCACCCAATGATATCTTAGAAAAAGAGAGTTAGGACTGAGTATGGTGGCTCACGCCTATAATCCCAACACTTTGGGAGGCCAAGGTGGGCAGATCGCTTGAGATCAAGAGTTCAAAACCAGCCTGGCCAATATGGTGAAACCCCATCTATACTAAAAATAAAAAAAAAAAAAAAAAAAATAGCCGGCCACAGTGGCAGTTGCCTCTAATCCCACCTATTCGGTAGGCTGAGGCAGGAGAATTGCTTCAACCCGGGAGGTGGAGGTTGCAGTGAGCTGAGATGGCGCCATTGCACTCCAGCCTGGGCTACAAGAGTGAGACTCCATCTCAAAAAAAGGAAAAAAAGAAAAAGAGAAAACCGGAGTTAGGCCCAAATTGAGATATTACAGAACAAAACAGTTCCCATGTTCCTTAAACTGGTGCAAAGCATAGAAAGAGAAATAATTCCTCTCAGTTCATTTTATAAAATTGGTATAACCTTGATAACAAACTCTTCCAAAACAGTACCAGAAAGGCAACTAAAGACATCTCACATTAAAAATCTTAGTTAACTACTAGCAAATCAAACCATGCAATATATTTAAAGTATAGTGTGTCATGACCAAGTAGGGTTTGTCCTAGGAATGCAAAGATTATTCAGTAATAGGAAACCTCTTAATATTATATTATGTCATCAACTCAAAGGATATAAATCATTTGATTACCTCAGATGCCACAAAGGCATTTAGTAAAAATTTATCACTCTTTCCTGATTGTTCTTAGTAAACAAGGAATAAAAGGACATTCTCTAATATGATAAAGAATATCTTGGCCTAATAAACAGCATAGTACTTAATGGTAAGTATATTAGAGGCATTTCTGCTAGAATTGGGAATAAGACAAAGATGCTCATTATAACTACTGATGTTTAACATTATTCTTGAAGTTCTTACCAATGTAATGCGGCAAGGAACTGAAATAAGAGATATAACTGTTGGAGAATTATACAAAGTACCGTTATTTACAGATATTGTTCTATAACTAGAAAACCCAAAAGAATGGATTAAAAAGATATTATAAATAGCAATTACTGAGGTGGCCAGGTCTTATATTATCTGTTTGTAGTACAAATATGGTACTAGCATATCTTGTGTTCAAACAGCATTTATAAGTTGAATATAATTGAAAGAATTAACTGAAAAAGAACTCTCTCCAGGCAGTTAAATCCTTCAAGGCCATTTCAGAATCTTGCTGTGTCTTGTGATAATTATTGTGAACACCAATTTATATTGGATAAAGAGGTTCAATTAATTGAGATTTCTGTTTGCTTGAGTTTGGGACAAAGGAAGTTTATATGGTTATAGAATTTTGCAGAAAGATGAATTTGTCTTTATTGAGTACCTAGAGAATATCTTATACTTGCTTTTCATGTTATCTTGTATAAACCTCATAACAACTCTGTAAGGTCGGTAATAGTATCCCCATTTCATAAATGAGAATGTACTCAGAGAGATGAAGCAATTTGCTCAGTGTCATGCAGCACTTACTAAGTAGTGGAGCTGGGCTTGAATGCAGTTCTGTGACTTCAAAGACCATGCCTTTTCCACTAGTGACTTTCAATTATATGTTCAATTTCCCTGGAAGGGAAAGGTATTTCCTGGGATAAAGTTCTGCTGAGTATAATGTATAGAGGATAGCCAACACACAGCTACCAAAACAGACACTGACTTTATCGAGAAGGGAGTGGCAATAATGAAAATATTAAAGGCAAGATAAATATTTACCATGTTGAAGGATAATCCCAGAAGAATCCAGGTAGTATACCCTTCTTGGGGAAAAAGATTGGATTGTCTCTTTCTAAATCAAAGTATTAGCAGCACCTCCATCCTAGGGCAGGCACTAATATAAATGACTGGAGTACACACAAACTGAACATCAGAAATCCTTAGTTTGTCCCATCAGAAGAAGAATCCAGTGTGACTCAGGATAAGCTCCATTCCTGATTAAAGGGACACAACATGCATAATAGCACAATAGCTAGCCATCGTGAACTGTTCTGGGACCCAGTCTAGAGCCATGTTGCATATGTGTGGTTCTCGATGTAATCGCTGTTTGTGGTTTGGCTGGCCAGCTGCTGTGGCAGCACTCCTCCTCAGTGAAGAGGAGCCAGCCAAATGGCTGTCATCATGTGCTTCTGGGAATAGCACATCGATGCCAGCCATTTGGACTCCTTCAGCCCATTGATGGGGTTAACCTGCCCACAGTGAGACAGGGTAGCTCTGATGATTTGTGTCACATCCCAAAAGTAGATTCCCTTCTGACTCCTATGTTCTGCTGAACAGAAAGGCTGGATGATAAATTGCCAGTGTAACCTTTACTATGTTTAGTGAGTTAACACATCTCAACTACTGAAGCAATCCATTTGATTCATGTGCATACTGCTTAAAATAATTCCTTGCATTTGCTTAGCACTTCATACTTTCCAAAGCTGTTTTTGCTTCTATTATCTCATTAATCCCAGGAGCTGGAGATGGAATACTCTGGAATATTCTTACCCTCAGACTTCTGTTGAGCCCAAGTGAAGGAGAAATGGTGCTCAGGGCTTGTCCTAGAGTAGTGGTTCTCAACCTTGGTCACACATTAGACTCACCTGGGAAGGTTTGAAAAATCCTTATGCCCAGGCCTGACCCCACACCAATTGCATCAGAATTCCTAGGGCTGGGGTCCAAGCATTGAGAGTTTTTGAAACTCCCCAGGTGATTTTAATGTATAGACAGATTTGAGAACCACTAAGAAGATAAATTCAATCTGAGGCATGTGAGTTCCCGGTAACAGGGAATGCATTCAAGTGGCAATGTCACAGTGGTATTAGAGACATGGGCTGTGTCATTCTCCTTGAGGGTTAAAGTCCTGGAACAAAATGTGCTCATGAAAGAGTGTGTAGATAAAGAAAAGCAGGGGCCTGAAGACTAACTTTTGATATTCAATGTGTTAAGGTTTCTATCTATGTTAACCTAGTTTTTTTTTCAAAGGCAACATGATTTCATAATGAAAAAATAAAACATCACTAATCAGAGGCCTTTGTGGAAGGAAATGTGCATATATCTAAAGGGATCAATGGGTGTAATTTATTTAGACTTTCAAAAAATCTCTAACTGACGTTCCACAGCAAAGGTTATTATGCTTTAAGTTATGTCACCATGAACCATGGAATTATAGGGGCCATCCTATGAAGAGGGCTTGAATGCAGGGATAAAGGGGAGTGATAAATGCTGTTTCTGGTTTTATTAAACATTTTTATATATAGTCTGGGTGAAAGAGTTTGCAGTGAAATCTCTAAGTTTGCAGATGATGAATCATTTAGTCCAAACACCCATTCAAAGCTCTGTCACTTACTAGCTGTGTGACCCTTGAAAAGTTATTTAACCTCTCTTGTCCTGTTTCCTCGACTGTAAGATAATGGAATTGGACATGAACATCTCAGCTAGAAATTCTGTAGATTAGCTTAACTCAGCTCCCCTCTCTGTGTTGATAATGAAAACAACACATAATCAAGTTCTTTGGTTGATTAGGACAATGTTAGAGAGTGACAATTACGGGGTCAAGACCAGAGAAAGCAATTGTTATACAGAATTATTCACTATATGGAGTTCATTGTAACCAGATTGGCAAAGCACTATTTCTGCCAGCCATCTGCTAGAACACAAAAATAGCTTTGTTATACAGGACTGTCCTTTATAATTGGATTTAACCTGTATGACAGATTTCTTCAACAATAAATTTATAAATCTCTTATATAGCATTTTAGACCTGAGGTTCATAAAATTTTGGAGTAAGAGGTTACCTAGTCCATACCTATATTTGGCAGGAGGACAGAGAAATGCAAACAGGTGAAGTGATTCGCCCAAGGTCAGACAGCAAATAAGTCATAGAGCTATATCTCTGGACAACTACTCTGGTTTTCTTCTCCCTACACTAAGTTCTCAAAGCAGTCAGATATAGCCATTTGAGTCCCAGGTCAGACCGATTTTGAAGCTGTTTTGTTAGCCCTGACAGGTAGGTATGTGGCTTGATAATGATGGTGATAGAAAATGAATGTGATGATTATAGCTGCTATTTATTGAGTGTCTATATGTGCTAGGCCTTGTGTTAAGTACTGTAAATTATCTAATTCAATCCTCCTGACATCCCTTTTGAGGTAGATATCATTGTCCCAATTTTCATAAATGAAAAACTGATTGAGAGGTGAAATAACTTGCCCAAGGTTACATAGCTATTGAATATTATTATAGAACTAGAATTCAAACCCAGTTCTGAAAAGTTAACAAAGCTCATCCTCTTTCCACAACCCCAGCATTTCCCAAACAGTACAATCCAGAGCATTAAGTCAGCAGGAGATAGGTATTTCTTTAAAAAGCTTCTATAACTGAATAAGTTTGGGAAATGCTGCACTTCCTATCCCCTTTTTGAAGAGTCACATTTCCAAATAGTATATTAAAGGATATGAGAAATCTTCAAAGAAGAAATCTGTTTTTCCTTAACCATGTGTTTCCCAAACTCTTTTTGACCAAGGAGCCCCATTTCCAATAACATCCATTGATGTCACACAGGACACTGGTGCTCTCTAGAACATAGTGTGAAAAACACTGCATGATCTCCCATTCATCTTTCTGATTATCTTCAGAGACTGTTACCCTTAGGCCTGGCTTTCTCCATCCTAACCACTAAAGTGACCAAAGACTAAGTGTTGCAGAATACTTGTTTAGCAAAGACATATGCTTATGACTTTGGGAACATCTTTGGTAACATGAAGAAACCTACACCTCATGAAACTTTGAGGGACCATTATGCTTCTGAAATGTCAGTAGTTGGTAGGACTCTTTTAGTACTGTCTTAACCACAGTAATATTTGTTAGTCTTTCCCAAACTAAGCCAGAACTGAGCCAGAGAAGTTTCACAGCTGATCATAACTTAAGTTTTTGGAACCTGAAGCCCCAGAGATGGGCCCCTGCTGCAAGGGCTAGAGAGGAAATCCTTGAATGACGAATGTAAGCCATCTCGCGTAAGAAATACTTGGGATTGGGATGAGATGGGGCGGGACGAGAATCAACTTGCAAATCCCTACCTTTTCTTGCCTTTTTGTCATGCTTAGAGCAGATGTTGAAACTGTAATCTGGGTTCTGAACATGGGCATTCCATGTGGTTTGCATTCAAAATTCTCACTCTTCTTTGAAGCTAATGGCTTCTATCTTCTTCATATATATTGAGCTTGCCACACGTATTTGCACATTTCCTCTGTTTACAATTCTAATAGTGTGAGATAGAAAATAAAATAAACTGTTAAGATGCCAAGATTTGAAGATACAAACTGTATTGAAGAATGGTTTTCTTTTTCTTGAATAAAATGTCCATTCCTGTACCTCCCCGTTTGCTAGCCATTGCCTTCTCTTTATTCCTTTACTAACTGGTACTGAAGAAATGTTGACAATGTCCAGTTCTCTGGTATTGTTCTCAACATAAAGGGAGAAAAGCATGAAAGCTAGAAGCCTGGGCCAGGAGCAGTGACTCACACCTGTAATCCCAGAGAGGCCAACGAGGGAGGATAGATTGAGGCCAGGATTTCGAGACCAGCCTGGGCAACATAGTGAGACCCCATTGCTACAAAAAATAATTTTAAAAAACTAGCTGGGTGTGGTGGCACATGTCTGTAGTCCTAGCTACTTGGGAGGCTGAGGCAGGAGGATTACATGAGTCCAGGAGGTTGAGGCTGCAATGGGCCATGATTGTGCCACTGCACTCCAGCCTGAGCCACAGAGCAAGACCATGTCTCAGGAAAAAAAGGTGGGGGAAAGCTGCTACTACCTGTATAATCAGATAACAAATAAAATTAAAATTTATGAATACCTACTCTATGCACATGACTTTCATTTATTTAGGCCATAAAATAACTATACATTGATAGAATTATGCCCATTTTACAAATGGACAGTTTTTTGAAACTATTATTGTTAATACTTTAAGCTTAGCATGACTGTGATTCAATGGAAGGTACCATGAGCTTGGAGTCAGAAGAATCTTGGTTTACTTCCCAGGCTTACCGCTTTCTTTGTCATTCATTTGTTCATTTAACAAACATTTTTATTGAACAGCTACTATAAAAGAAATGCTTTAGGAGCTGGAGATACAGAGATGAGTAATTCACAGCCCTTGCCCTCAAGGAGTTAACAGTATATTAAGTAGAACAATCACATATCAGAAAATTATAATTTGATAAATGCAACAGTGTGTTAACGGAACACAGAGGAATTAGTATCTGAGTTTTAAAGTTTTAAAGGATGTGCAGGTATTGAGAGAAAGTGGGACTGGAGAAGGGCACTTCAGGCAGAGTGAATGGCATGATGAGAGGTATAGAGGCAAGAGGTATGTGAAAAGTGTGGTGGATGTAGAGCCAGGGCTTGGAGATTCATGTTGAACTACATGCCATGCAGTGTTGCTTTTAAACTAGTGGATGTTTTATAAATTTATTTTTATAATTACAGACTATTTTTAGAACAGTTTTTGTACACAGTAATATTGAACAGAAACGGAGAGTTCCTGTATACTCCCTCTCTTCCCACCCTTGGCAACCACTGATATTTTCACTATCTCTGTAGTTTTTCCTTTTCCAGACTGCCATATGGTTGGAATTATACAGTATGTAGCATTTTCAGACTGACTTCTTTCACTTAGCAATATGCATTTAAGGTTCCTCTGTGTCTTTTTCTGGCTTGATAGCTTATTTATTTTTATTGCTGAATAATAATCCATTATATGGATGTCCACAGTTTAACCATTTACCTATTAAATGACATCTTAGTTGCTTCCAATTTGGGGCAATGATGAATAAAGCTGCTATAAACATTGGTATGAAGGTTTTTGTGTGGACATAAATGTTCAGCACATTTGGGTAAATAAACACCTAGGAGCACAATTTATGGGTCATGTGGTAAGACTATGTTTAGCTTTATAAGAAACTGCCAACCTGACTTCCAAAGTGGCTGTATCATTTGAATTCCCACCAGCAATAAGTGAGAGTTCTTTTTGTTCCGTATTCTCTCAAGCATTTAGTGTTGTCAGTATTTTGAATTTTAGCCCTTCTAAGAGATGTTTGGTGCTATCTCATTGTTTTAAATTGCAAGTCCCTAATGACAAATGGTGTTGAGCATATTTTTCTATGCTTATTTGCCATCTGTATATCTTCTTTGTTGAGGTGTCTATGCAGATCTTTTGCCCATTTCTTAATTGGATCTTTTTTTTTTCTGATTTTTGAGTTTGCTGTTCAGATCTTTGCCCATTTCTTAATTGGATTAACTGTTTTCTTATTGTTGTTATAAGAGTTCTTTATATATTTTGGATAAAAGCCCTTTATCAGATATATATTTTACAAATATTTTCTCCCAGTCTGTGGCTTGTCTCTTGGTTCACTTAACAGTATCTTTCTCAGAAATTTTTAATTTTAATGAAGTCCAATGTATCAATTTTTTTTTCTATTACAGATTGTGCTTTTGGTGTTCTATCTAAAAATTCATTACCAAGCCCAAGGTCATCTAGATTTCTCCTATGTTATCTTATAAGAGTTTTATGGTTTTGTGTTTTGCATTTGGATCTGTGATCCATTTTGAGTTAATTTTTGTCAAAGTTGTCCAGATTTTTTTTGTATAAATGTCCAGTTATCCCAGCACCATTTGTTGAAAAAAAAAAAACTATCCCTTCTCCATTAGATTGCCTTTGCTCCTTTGTCAAAAATTTATTGACTATATTTGTGTGGGTCTATTTCTGTTCCATTAATTTGTGGTATTTCACAAATACCACTGTCTTGATTACTGTAGCTTTATAGTAAGAATTGAATCAAGTAGTGTCATTCTTCAACTTTGTTATTCTTCAATATCGTGTTGGCTGTTCTGAGTCTTTTGCCTTTCCATATAAACTTTAGAATCAGTTTGTTGATACCCACAAAGCAACTTGCTGAGATCTCGATTTTGTTTGGCTGTGTCCCCACCTAAATCTCATCTTGAATTGTGGTTCCCATAATCCGCACATGTCATGGAGGGACCTGGTGGGAGGTAATTGAATCATGGAGGCAGTTACTCCCATGCTGTTCTGGTGATGACGAGTGAGTTCTAGTGAGATCTGATGGTTTTATGAGGAGCCTTTCACCCTTTGCTCGGCACTCCTTTCGCCTGCCTCCATGTAAGACGTGCCTGTTTTGCCGTCTCCCATGATGGTAAGTTTCCTGAGGCCTCCCCAACCATGTGGAACTGTGAGTCAATTAAACATCTTTTCTTTATAAATTACCCAGTCTTGAATATGTCTTCATAGCAGCATGAAAATGGACTAATACAGATCTTAATTGGGATTGCTATAGACAAAGTTGGAAAAAAGTGACATCTTAACAATATTGAGTCTTCCTAACATTGATCATGGATAGGAAGACTCAATATTATTAAGATGTCCATTGATTTAGATCTTTATTTTCTTTCATCAAAGTTTTGTAGTCTTCCTCATATATTCGTGTTTTGTTAGATTTATACCTAAGTATTTCTCTATATATTGTGTTAATATAAATAGTGTTTGTTTTTAATTTCTAAATCCCAGTTGGTCACTGCTAGTATGTAGGAAAGCAATTGATTTTTATATATTAGGTGTGTATCCTGCAACCTTATTATAATGCTACTTAGTTCTGGAAGATTTTTGTTGATTCCTTGGAATTTTCACATCAACAATCATGTAATCTGTGAACAAAGACAGTTTTATCTCTTATTTCTCAATCTTTATGCCTCTTGTTTCTTGTTCTTGCATACAGCATTAGGTAGCATTTCTAGTATTATGTTCAGTAGGAGTGATGAATGGGAACATCCTTGCCTTGTTCCCAATCTTAAAGGGAAAGCATCTAGTTCCTCACCATTAAATTAGCTGTATGATATATGGATGTCCAGTTATTCCAGGATCATAAATATTCTGAATGTTATAGATGTTCTCTATCAAATTGTGGAAGTGCTCTTTGATTCATAATTTGCTGAGAGTTTTTATCATGAAGTGATGTTGCATTTTGTCAAAAATCCTTTTTTGGATCTATTGACATGATCATATGATTCTTCTTTAACCTTTTGATGAGTAATGGGATTCAATTAATTGATTTTTGAATGGTTAACCCTAGCCTTGCATACCAGGAATAAATCCCATTTGGTTGTGGTACATAATTATTTTAATACATTGTTGGCTTTGATTGGCTAATATTTTACTGAGGATTTTTGCATCTATATTCAAGAGAGATAGCAGTGGTAGTTTTCCTTTCTTGTAGTGCCTCTGTCTGTTGGGGATATTAGGGTGATGCTGAACTCATAGAATGAGGTAGGAAGTGTTCCCCCTGCTTCTATTTCCTTTTTTATGTAATTTCAACTTTTATTTTAGATTTGGGGGTACATGTGCAGGTTTGCTATATAGGTATATTGCACAGTGCTGAGGTTTGGGGTACAGATGATCTCATCACCCAGGTAGTGCCTCTGATTTTATTTTTTGAAACAGACTGTAGAGAATTAGTATGATTTCATCTTTCAATATTTGATTAAATTCACCAGTGAAACCATTGGGGCCTGGTGCTTTCTCTTTTGGAAGGTTGCAAATTGTCAATTCAGTTTCTTTAATATATATAGGCCTACACGGATTACCTATTTCTCCTTCTGTGAGTTATGGTAGATTGTGTCTTTTAAGGAATTAGCCCATTTTACCTAAGTGATCAAATTAGTGGGCATAGAGTTATTCATAATATTCTTTTATTATTCTTTTAATGTCCATGGGATCCATAACGATGGCAGCCTCTCTTTCATTTCTGATGTTAGTAAAATGTGTGTCTTCTCACTCTTTCTTGGTAGGAGTTTATCAATTTTTTTTTATCTCCCTAAAGAACCAGCTTTCAATTTCATTGATTTTCTCTATTGCTTTCCTGTTTTTATAAACTTTCTTTTTTTTTTTTTTTTTTTTTTCAGACGGAGTCTTGCTCTGTCACCCAGGCTAGAGTGCAGTGGCAAGATCTCGGCTCACTGCAAGCTCTGCCTCACGGGTTCATGCCATTCTCCTGCCTCAGCCTCCCAAGTTGCTGGGACTACAGGTGCTCACCACCATGCCAGGCTAATTTTTTGTATTTTTTTAGTAGAGATGGGGTTTTACCCTATTAGCCAGGATGGTCTCAATCTCCTGACCTCATGATCCACCTGCCTCAGCCTCCCAAAGTGCTGAGATTATGGGCGTGAGCCACCATGCCCGACCCA